TTCCTTCAATTTTTGCGTGGATTTCCCGTGAGCTTCTTCTCCAAATTCCCGCCGACAACTTCCCCAACTGTAGCTCCGGTTTTAGCTGGAGAATTCTGCCTACTGGACTCCAACTGCAGCCTCACCTCTCAGCCAAAAGGTGTGTTATTGCCCTCAATGAGAAGCTGAGTTCGAGCTTGATGGCAGCAGTAGAGCAACCCAGCTCGGTAGCGGTAAAGTTCAAAGCAATGCTCCAGCTCGGCAGCAGCAGAGCAGCCCAGCTCGGTAGCAGTTCAGCTCGGCAACAGAACAACAGCCAAGCACGGCAACAACAAAGCGGCCCAGCTCGCTGTACCAAAACAGTCCAGCTCGGCAGCGGCAAACCTCAACAGTACTCCGGCTCAACAGAAGCAAGGCAGCCCAGCTCGGCAGCAGCCAAGTAACCCAGCTCGACAGCCGCAAAGCAGTCTCTCAGCTCGGCGGCATGCACCGAGCAAATTTGTAATGAAGCTCGTTGAAGAAGACACCAGCAATCAACATAATATGATGATGGTTAGCCCATACTTGCAACAAATTGACAACACTCTGTGAAACCACTGGGAAGACGCGAGTTCCAACCACAAGCACCTTCCTTGGGCAGTAAACCATTTGAGTTTGGTTACCACTTTGTGATTATTAGGGAGATAATCTTAATCTTTTATTATTTCACTATATTTCTTATTTATTGTTTTATTTTCTTTTGCGGTAAAGCAAGGTGAAATCTCCCTCTATTTTGAATTTGTTTTTGCAGAATCCAAGGGATAAGTCTTGACTAGGCAGTTTGCCAGTAACAAATTAAATCCCTCCAATCAGCTGTTAGGGAGCAAAAGACTATGGTTCCAATGACAGAAAATACTGATGGTAGTGTTGGAGATGGAAGCTCTGGAGGTACTGGACACCACCCTTCAAGATGATAGTTAAACCACTACCGGAAACACACATGCTGCTCTGAGAAGCCAGTAGTCGCATCTCATGCTCAGTTGAGAGCAGAGGCATTCAACCGCCCACATAGCATCACCGAACCATTTGGAGGCTTGAAAAATTTGCCAATAAAGCTGTGAATAATGAGCTGTAATGAGCAAACCATTTGGAGTTATTATCCCGTGGAAATTTGACAATAACGAGCTATAAAGTCCCTGCTGCAACACGAGCTGGGAATTGCAGGAGCATGAGAAGCGAACTGCAAGAACATGAGCTGCGAGCTGCTGAGTTCAAAAGCACGAGTTGCCGAGCTCACAAGCACGATGCAGAACTCGGGCAAGATCTTTTGAGCTGCTGAGCACGAGTTGTATAGCACAAGCTGTCAAGCACGAGCTACCGAGCTCAAACACAAGCTGCAGAGGTTGAGCACGAAGTGCAGGGGTTGAGAATGAGCTACAAAGCTCAAACACAAGCTACATAGCTCAACCACGAACTGTAGAGGTCAAACACTTAACTGCTAAGGTCAGCCACGAGCTGCGGAGGCCGAGCATGAAGTGCAGAACTTGAACACGAGGTGCAGAAGACGAGCATGAGTTGAAAGATATGCAGCACGAGCTGCAAGGTGTCAACACACTCAA